TAATCAAAATCTAGAACCTAAAACTCACACTTAAGATAACCACTCTTAAGATATAGAATTAGGAATTTGGCTAAAATAACATCACACTATTTTATAAATACTCAAAGAGTAAAAGGAGTTTTTTAATAATTCAGAGATGATCATTACAAGGGCCAAATGGCCGAAATATATAAGGAGGGGAGAGGAGGGAAAACACACAATATAATGAATGCAAATACAAGGAACCTTCCTACATCCCTTTATCATTCACTAGCTTCCAATCTTGAGTTGATAAGGGCTGATTTTGTTTGACTTTGTCTTGGCTTTGGAGCTGGCTTTGTCTGTCCTGTTGTGGAGGCAAAAATCACCAAGAATGAAAATCCTTTGATGATTGTGGAGGATATTCTGGCTAAAAAGAGGGGACAAACAAAGATGGGTGATGGATGGTGTATTGGCCTTATATTCTTGGTCATATGAGGTGACTGATTTAGTAGGTGGTGTATCAACAACAACTCAAATGTCCCTTGGCTTTTTGTGGTTGTTTATTCAGCCCTAGTAGGGAACATAAAGGGGATAAGAATGGGGAATATCTTGGTTGATGTTGTGTTGGGATAATGAGGGATATTTGGCCTGGGATTTATAGAAAAGGATAGAAGGTTTTATTTGTTTATTAAAAGGTTTAAAAGAAAGAAAATAACAACAAACAAAGGTTGTGGTTTACACACTCTTATTTTCGGCCAGGGCCTAAAATAGGAGTAGGAAAACTTTATTTTGAAAAGGAAATATTTTGGATGTTTAGGGAAGGTATGGAGAGTGTGGGCTCAGCCTAGGGTGGGTGTAGGACAACCATGGTGTTGGGTTGGGTTCTAAGACAGGAAAATGGAGAAGTTTCAACCCAATTAATGTCACCACACTTGGGCTTTATTCCCCTGATCTGTCTTTCCCTTGGCGGGCTACGGAGAGTCTTTGGGCATGCTCCCGGATATATATCAATGGTCATGGTCATGTTCCGTGATTTACAAGTTGATTTTACAATATCAATCATGTAATGGAACTGACAATAACAGATATCTCAATTCTTTGTTGTCTCTCATGAGATTTTTCCAAAACGAGCCATTTGTTTCATAAAACATAGTTATTTTGTAAGTAATTTGCCAAAAAAATTGCACACATCACAACAACAACAACACAGCAGAATCCCATGATAGTACCCCTACTTGAAAGTAGAGAGGTTGTTTCCAGAAAAAATTACACAAATGCTCAATATAAATAGGATCCCGCGACTTTGAAAACTTGTACCTTGCCAAAAAATAAAAAATGTACATTGACTAAACATGTCTCTTCTTTGGGATGGAGAGTACAAAATAAAATTGCATTCTTTTAGTGGATAATTTGCATGCCAATATCAGGACAAAGAACAAACAAAGAGATTAACAAGAAGAAAGTTTTAGAATCTACAGAGAAGTCGAAGCTTCTGTCAATTTTCTTTCAGATATAGTAATTGCTATGACATGTTAATACACAGGTTAGCCTTTTAAACCAAGAGGTTATTATTGAGAAGATACAATCTGTGGTAGAACTCAAGTTGAGAAGTTCCAATGAGTCAAGGACATTCCAAGAGCAGGTATTCTTAGTAAGAAGTAACATTCTATATACTCATATTGATATTAGTCCATTATCTTGAATGTATTGTTACTATGCTGCTTACCATTTAGGGCTACTGTGCTACACGGCTTACTGTGCTCTATGTGTCATACACAATTTAAAGTAAAATATCAATGTAATTACATTTGTTCCTCCAATCTGAACATAACTTTCTGTTAACAATAGGACATTTTTAAAGAACATATTATTTTTTCATACAAGAATGGAATGTAAAACAGTAGTTTACTGAAAGTGAAACACCAACTCATTTAAAATAAAGATTATGGTGACATGGATAGGCTGGATAGTCCAGTTTGTCAGGTTGTGTGGTCGTTTTCAACTTCCTTTAGTGGACATCACCTTTCTGAGACCATAGTTAGAATAATTCTTTTTTCTGTTTGATATTCTATCATACGTTGAATTAAATTTAAATTCTGGCATGCTTCATTATGAGCTAGAATCCACATCTCACTTTGTTCTTTTTCTAACTATATGTGAATTTTACAGACAAGCAATCCCTCTTCACCTAGTGTGTTGGCAACAAGGCAATACTCACAAAAAGATTTATCCAAACCTGGTATGGTGGATGTATTCCCAATTCATCATCGAATAATGAGGAAATGTAACATGATATAGTGTGTAGATTAGTTTTGACTTTTTAGATTCTGTTTATTAATAATCCATTCTCCAATCTTTGCTGTTGCAGAGATAAAATCACAAAAAACTCCAGTAAATAAAATTGTAAGGATTGACACACTGGATCCTGCCGGAAGGCTGGATGCGTACTTGCAATTCACACCTTCTAATAATCCAGAAAGAAGTACTTGCTTGACCACTGTGAGGTAGAATTCATCTCCTGCTTGTGTATCTAAATGCATAATACACCCTGACATTGAAAGTAAATTTCGGGGTGGACTTTTCAGTGAATTATGGGACTGACACATCAATGCTCCTTATGCTCGAACTGTTTATAGATAATGGATTCTCTGGAGAATCAAGTATGAAATAAATGAATCCCGTTCTCCCTTAAAATATCGGGTCTGTTCAGTTCAGCTGTTAGTCACATAGTTATTTCTATTGGAGCTGAACAAGTCTATTAACAGCTCCATATTGGAGCTTTTCATTCTAACTGTTTGATTAGCTCTTCCTATTCTCAAACTCAACCTCTTAAACGAACACCTCTTACCCCTATTAACTTTTTTCCTTCCACCTCTCATCCAAAAGTCTTCCCCTTTCTTGTCATTCCTCCGATGATGGCTCCAGTCTGCTTGAGTGCATGCTGCTCATCTAATATCCCCTTATACAACTAATGCCAAGTTGACAGACCTCCCAAGTGACTAGTCTCTTACTGTCATACTTCTGTAAGCTTTCTCTCATCTCCTACATACATAATACATTGTTTCCCAACTAACTTTATGTATTTGTTTCGCATATGTGGATATGCAAGTACTCCCCCCATCCCAAAAATGAGTCATGCGTTAAGAACCTGTGTTTGTCCTAAAATAAGAGTGGTTCTAAAAATCAGCTATCATTTTAAAATAAAATTTATGTGAAACTAATCAGCAAGGGGTTTTAATTAGTTGCTCCAAACAATCTTGAAAACAACTTTAGGGCTATACCGCTACAAATAAGAGACAATACATAATTTGTGAATTTTTACACTTTGATTTTGTTGACTAAAATTTCAAAAGATGGTACTTAACTCAAACATCACTCTTTTTTCTTCCGATCTTCCGGGCTAGATGTAGTATTGCAGGAGTAAGTTTTAAGAAATGTCATTCCTTGTTTGGATTTGATACTATCCCTAAGGGAAGATATGCACAATTTATTTAAATCCAGGTCAGCATAATTGGTCTTGTTGGACACATGAGGGCATTAAACTTCTCTTGCAAGAATTACGCACATCCTTTTCTTTGAGCGATATGCTGTATTTAGTGACTTGTGCGATTGAGTAAGTTATAAGTGATGTGTAACTATAACATGTAGCTTTGATTTAATACATGCTTGCTTTGAAAAAATGTGCACAAGTTATTTAAGTCTAGGTCTACTTAATTAATCTTTTAGGATTCAGGAGGGCATAAAACCTCTCTCACAAGATTTATGCTCATCCTTGTATTCTTGAGTTATCTGATGTGTTCAGCGGCTTGTGCCCCTATTGCATTTGTTTCCTCTCTCTTATGAGGTGAGAACACTACAGGAGTATAGGTGTTTGAATAGGCTAAGAAATTTTCATCCCTCTGTTTAACACTGTCGTATTCTTATGTGAAGAACTGATTTTTTAGATCTTCTATAAGACAAAGGAGAAACCCTAAAGAGACTGCTGACCTTACTAGCCTTCAAGAGCTTATAAATGAAATTGAATCTACATGTCATTCCGGTATGTGCTTATATATTGCACTATACCCATGACCAAATCTGCTTTTGGTGTTTTTTCTAATTCCAAATTTCATAGGTTTGCTGGAGATTGTGAGGCACTGCACATACATTGGAATGGCTGATGATGTGTTTGCTCTGCTTCAACACCAAACTCACCTTTATCTTGCAAATGTAGTTAACCTAAGGTAGTACTTTTAGTCAAATTAACTAAAAACTGCTTTTATTTGTGGCGCAAGTATGAGACCAAATACAGAAGATTTAGATTTTATTTGGCCTACTTTGGTTTTCTCCCAGTTTTTCTCTCTTTTCCATGCTATTTTCTTTCCCTAGTATTTTCTGAGTTCCAAATGTAAAGAAAAACTAAATTCCCTTTCTTGGTCCACATTATTTCAGGACTTGTTGCAATTACATGGATTTTTTAACACACACTAACAAAGTGCAGTAGTGTTACCTACCAAAGGCATCTGTATAACACAATGCCGTTAGTGTTTACTAATACTAATATGAAGCTACCTTCCTTTAAATATTCTGCTTTTGTATACTTTAGATATTGTAACACATTGGGTCTACAAATTAGACTTTCTTTTTCTTGTGTTTTGTTCCTTTGGATTTACATCCATAATTCATTGAAAATTTTACCTTCAATTGAATGGTTCACAGCAAAGAGCTCATGTACCAGCAAGTTTTGCGACGGTTTGCCCATTTCAATGCCATTCAACTAAGTGAGCCAGCCCCATTACAAGAGTTGCTGATGCTTGCTCTTAGAGAAGAAGACGAGGCTAGCGAAATCGATGAAGATGATAACCTGAAAGAAAAGATTTCTGATGTAATTTTGATCCCTGCTTATCCTCCCTCCAAAAAAATTACTCCTCTATCTACATATAGTTGTCCACTTTCTTGTTTTCATTTTTCCAGAATTAGTTTTCCACTTTCTAAAATATCTCATTTAAAAAATACTCCCTCTGCCCCTATTTTGATTACAATATTCCTCCTTTTTATTGTCCCAAAATGGACTAAAATATTCCACTTTGGTAGCTTTTGAACACCTTTAAGACTAAATATCCCCACTTTTAATATCTCCACCCCGGTGTGTCAAAAAGTAAATATGAGGCTAGTCATTGATTAGGGGTATTTTGGGAAAACAATTATTCGAATTGACCTAATATTAAAGTATGTGAAAAGGGAATATTGTAATCAAAATAGAGGCGGACGGAGTAATGACTTTAAAATGTCAAATAAATCCTCCAAATGAGTGTCACTCATTCATGTTAACAATAATCATACTCTATTGTAAGTAGTAGTTTTTTTTGTAAATAATGAATTTATTTGCACGCCCTTGAAACATTGGAAAGTCGTCTAGGGCAACCAGGTGCATAGTTCCCTCGGTTGATTTTTACTTCAATTTTGAGTTTTTATTTAATAGCAAATGCACCTCTTTCGTAACGCAATTGAACACATGTTTTGCTTCATCCAATTTAGCTTTTTATCTAGGGGTAGGCTATTCTACTTCGCTTTGTTAGTTCTTGTGTTCATTTATAAGTGTACCTACTTTTTTTGTTATGATGAATTTTCCAATGAATCTATGATGCAGTCCTTACTGTTGCCTTCCTTTCCTCAGATGAATAAAGATCTTCTCAAGCAAAAGGCTGAAATGCTTGATGAATTCTTTAGCATCTATATCGACTCAAATGGTAATTTGTCCAGACTTCCTGTGATACTGGATCAGTATACACCTGACATGGACCGTGTCCCAGAGTTTGTGCTTTGTTTGGGAAATGATGTGGGTTTGCTTTCTATTCTTTGTTTTGAATTTGTTTATACCATTCCTAGTCCATGACTCATATATTGATTGTTTCGAGCTAAGGTTCATGAAATCCTTGTAAATTTTGGAGGCTTAAGTATTTCAACTTTTTGTCTGTAACTTAAAAGGTCCAAGGAGCAATACCCATGCATGCGATTAGTATCCAAATGTCTTGTAAGTTCTTCTGTATTATCTTTGATTTTCTATCAATTTTGGTAGATCAACTGGGACGATGAAAAGGACTGCATCCAATCAATATCTGCTGCTCTTGCCAACTTCTATGCCATGCATACTCCTTTGATACCCAAACCATCAGGTGATGGCTTGCAATTCTACAAGAAGAAGAAAAGTTCAAGCAGTGTTAATGAACAAGAAAATCCTTCAAAACCCACTGGTATGTGTTCTTTGTATTGGCAAAAATTTCACTGAAACTGAAGGGGACTCAAAGTACGAATAAGGCAAAGATAAGCATTGAATTATTCAAATGCGTATGCCTTGCAAGCTACTCCCTCCGTAAAAAAAGTCGTTTTTGAACATTAGTATAATAAAAGATAACATTTGAACAAAATTAGCTAATTTCCATTATTTAAACATATTATTTTGAAAAAACGCTGAACAGATGTACATAAAATATTAAATATAGTTAAAATTTGATGGTTTTGAAAACTTGTGTCGAGCCAAAAAAAATATCAACTTATTTGTACAATTTTACATTGTCTTCTACACCATGCTCACACATACAAAGCTTTTATTTTAACGGGCAAGGTAGTCAAACATCGTAAGATCGTGACTCGGATCGTAAGATCCTACTATATATATATATATATATATATATATATATATATATATATATATATATATATATATATATATATATGTATGTATGTATATATTAAATTTTAATAAAACATAACACAAGTTCAAGTTGGATACCAGACTTACCCGTTTATAATCTAAATTACCCTTTTACAATCGTACGATCCGGATCGCGATTTTGACTACCCTGTTAACGGGCATATTGTTTTGTAACGTGAAGAAAATGTAATGTTGGTGTAAAAGAATAAAAATGGTGTCCAAAAAGCTAAGTTGCACGGATACTCATACAGGGACGGGGTGGGAACGGGGAAGCACCAACTATTCTAGATTTTACAAAGGATTTGAGTGCTGGGATGTTCGGAAGTAACCGAACAGTGGCCTTTCGGGGACGGGAAGTGTCACTTGAAGAATCCGTGCAACATAGACAAAAAGTGCTTCCCAAATTAAAACGTTAAAACTTGCTGAAATCCGTTCTTTGAGGGGATGGACGTAGTATAACGCAAGACATCACATAGCATGCTATGTCACCTTTCAATGCCCCCACCTTTCCCCTGTTTTTCTTCCACCTCGCCTCAGCTTGACACGGCATGTCATGTAGATGTCCAATGTTAGAATATTTCTCAAAGTGTATTCCTCAAAGCATGCAAGATGTCCTATGTTAGAATATTTCTCAAAGTGTATTCCTCGTCAAGTTAATCTCTTGAGAAAGCCCTCAAAGCAGCCTATTTAAAATAAAAACTCGACCCCCAACTACCTTTCCCTCAACAACAACAACAATCCCAGTAAAATCCCACGAAAAGTAGAGTCTGGGGAGGGGGAGGGTGCGTGTTTACGCAGACCTTACATATCCCTCACATTCAGAAATTCCGAAGAGCCACAAAGATAGCTTCAGAAGGAACTGAAACTTGTTTTGTTTTCTGTTAATATTTCAGGGAATGACGTGACAGAGGATGAATATGAGATTGATTTACTTTCAGCGGCTGAAAACGCATGGGCACAGCGAGAATGGTCAATTCAGCATGTTTTGTTTCCATCTCTCAGGCTTTTCTTCAAGCCCCCAAAATCAATGGCTACAAATGGTACTTTTGTTCAGGTACTTGAATTAAATAAACACTGTACATAGTATTTACGGAGTATTCTTCTAGGCCTTACTGAACAGGATCTTAGATACTTAGATGCCCAATGAGTGCTCTAAAAGCGCTCAAAGGTCAGGAAAAAAACTACCAGTCTGCACATTGTCAAAGAGCAAATCTACTTCCGTCCCTAAAGCAGTGCCGATTGCGTTTTCTTTTCTTATAGGTCACTTCACTGGAGAAGCTTTACAGAATTTTCGAAAGATGTTAGGATGTGCAGAATAAGACAATTGATTGATGGTTAAATCAGCGAACTGCAGTTTTCGGATGCTGGATTATGATATAACAATAGGAATGTGTGTAGGTTTCTGATTCATGAATCGTGATCTGATATTTCTGATTACATACACGGAGAAAAAAGAATAACAACAATGGTCAGTTTGTTGTTATTGTTCATCTCCGTATATGTAATCAGAAATTTCATATCATAAATCATAATGAATAAGAATCCTACACATTCCTATTGTACTATATGGAGTCATTTTTTGTTTCCTGTGTATGATAACAATGATACTCTGTACAATGTATGAATGCAAATGAAATAAATATCTTTTTACTATTACCATTTTTTCAACTTCTTGCCCCTCTTGTTACCAATTGTGCACTTTTAAGTACATTTCAATGTTGTTTTATATCTTATAAGTGCAAGTGACTGAGTGAGAGTTGTGCACTATCACAGTTTTACCTTGAGATTAAAAATTTGTACTTAATAATATTTGGAATGTGCTATACATTTGTGAAGGAAAAAAATAAAAATTCACTCCCATGTGGCAGAATATCGTTCAATTTCTAATTGTATCAACGCAAGACAATGAATTTCTAAGGTTTTTGCAATGTTAATAATGAAGTGCAATTTTGAGAGTACCTCTTGTGGCCCCGTTTTAATTTATGATATTCGATTGAGGTAATTTTTCAATTTAATTTACTTTTAAATATTGGTGTATAATTTAAAAAATATTTTAAATATTGGTGCATTCACTTATCTTTAAATAAACTTTATACATTATCTTTTGTTCTCGAAATGATTTTGTACTTCTATAATTTTTCTTTTAGGAAAATAAGTGTGGACA